CAGGATAAATACGTTCGTGAAAGGAATCGGATACTTGCTAAATCGACAAATTGATTGATAGATACCTTGTTGAAAAGATTGCGTGACAGCTTATTCATTGTTGTCGAAAACTTCCTAGCCATTGATTTTCACACGATAACAGTAAGTTTTTGCGTGATTTCATTCGGTTCTCAGAATGCTCAATTGAACACGTGAGAAGCTCTTTTCGAATGCGTTCCACATCGTCTAATTTTTGCGTTCTTAAACGCCCATTTCAAGTGAAATTCATTCCAGTGACCTCATTGTTGTCCATTCGACTGTCAACATCTTGGTAAATGGCTGTTTGGCTTCTTCTGTCACATATTTAACGCAGATTGCTTGCAATCTGTAAAGTAATTTTTTAGAAGTTTATTGAATTTGAACGTTTTTGCATAGGGAATTGAAGCGATACAAGCGACTCTTTGAGATAACGAGTCCGTTCGAGGTTTCGGCTCCATATGAATGAATTATCGCAAAAAGTCGCTGATTTGACCGGCAGAATGCAACGAATAGTACGAAAGGCAGTTGCGTAAGTGGTTGTTTCGTCATTATGAACGATGATCGAGCGGTTTTAGGAAGGATTTAGACGTGTCAAAAATCATAAATTCGCGATAATGTTCAGAACGACAAGAGGTAGTGCTGATACGCTCGGTTCAATTGCGGATATGTTCATGAAACGTAAAGCGTGTTCTGATTGCAATCGCGAAACACATGCAGAACGAGTGAGTGCACTCAACAAGGTTTGTTCATCGTTCATTTGCTGTGCCTTTATTCAGTGATCTTTCATCGTGATGTTAGTATTGGAGCGATTTGCACTTGAACAAATATCACGATTTGGAGGTTTTGAATCGAATATTATCCTTTTCATTGTTGTTATTCTTCTCATCTCAATGCTTTGCATCATTTGCAGATCTTCTCGGAACGTGAACGAGATGATCAAGGAAGAGTGCTGTTCAAACTTCCGTTGTCCTTACTCGAGAATGTCATCAATATTGAGTACAAAACCCAGGCCAAAATGGGCCAAACTGCCGAAATGGAATTAATCGGTCACTCAGCCGGTGAGCATCCATCACTGAAGAATCCTTCACATTGTGGTATCAGCGAGTTCTCGATCATCTCTTTCTCTCGATGTTCTAATGAATATTGCGCAGCTTGAATCATTTACTGCATAAGATCATAACCGTTTGAGATTGTCAAAAACTAATAATATGCGAAAGAGTTTATGAACAATTAATANTTTTTTTTGCAGTTCCATAATGTTGAATGCGAATTTTTCAAATTCACCAAGATTTCTCGACCGTATTCGCTGAAGGTGCCAAACACAATCGCGGCATATTCCCTGGACCCAGACCTGATCGATCCTGGTGTTCTGATCTTCGAGGACTTCGAAAAAACTGCAATATATCCTATCACAACCAACCTTTCACTTGATGCCCTCAAAAACGTTTGCTTTGTTGAACAAAAAACAAAAACTGTTTTATTCGTTTCGTCAGCAATCAATTGAAAATTTCATTTTGAAATCTCATTCTTGTAAAATCACTTTCAACAAATGTACATCCCTCGATGCTTTCAATTGTTCGTACTTTCTAAAATCGATGCAAAACTGCTCATTTTCATCTTGGAGCTTTCATTGAAATCGACCAATACCGATTTGATCAGTTTTGATTTGATCGTATGCATCCAATGCTTAACGAAAACAAAACAAAAAGTGTTTCGAGTAGCAACTGAAGATTTCTCCGATGAATTTCAATTACAAAAATTGAAGACACATCATATAGATTGTGAGGGCATTAGCTGAAATTCACGCAGCGTGCTTGGAGTGTTCGTCGGATTGGCTTAAATGGCTCTATCCTGCTTACGCACCGTTGACCGCCTCACACTTCATGCCCGCTATAGCCGCACTCAAAAACTCGCATCCAGTTATCTTCGGTCCGACGCTTGACCGCATCAGTTGCACCATCACTGACTACATGGACGCATATCGT